TTCACTAAAACGCCCAAGCTAAAGGCCAGAGAGCAGCGCTCCCCTCCCAACATGGCTACGCCACCGGTGGCACCACCCGCGGGGGCCGGTGGCCCGAACTTCGATGCCGCAGCACCCCAACCACAACCGATGCAGCAACCGGGAACTGACATGACGGGTATATGTTTCAGGGACCAATTATGGCTCAACACCTACCCTCTCGATCGGAACTTCGTCTTCGATTATTTCGCACTATCTCCGTTCTATGATTGGCAGTGCAACAACGAGGATCTCAGGAGGCGCTCCATTCACCCTCTCGATAGCTCTCACCTCTCGTAAGTTCTCAATTTATGTAAAGGAAAGGAAATCCCTAAATGGGTTTATTTTCATTGGCAATTCGATTCTCATGTTTGGAACATTTTAATTGAAATTTTCCTGTTTGAAACTCCTTGGTCTGGACAAATAGGTCTAGATTTTAGAGAAGAATTTTCTTTCTCCTCTTTATGGTTTTAGCAAGAGATGGGTTTAAGTAGAAACAACTAAAGCTTTTTCCTTTACATCCAGGAAGATGACGGGGATGGAGTACATGCTTACTGAAGTAATTGAGCCCAACCTCTTTGTCATCAAAAAGCAATGGAGGGATGGTCCTGAGAGGGTCAACCCAATACTGACTTATTATGTTCTGGATGGTTCAATATACCAAGCGCCACACCTTTGCAGTGTCTTTGCTGCTCGAGTTGTAAGTGTCTCTTCCCACTTATGTCCTTTCTGCCTTTTGCCTTTTCCCTAAATTGTTATTTTACTATAAGGACTCTGTTTTTTATGAGACTGAATGCTGCAAGACAGTTTGGTATGGCTTTGGGTTGATATTGAATCCCGGCATTTAACCCAAACTTGTTAAAGTGATGGATGGAATGGAAGCTTATATGTCATAAAGTTTGCCATTTCTTTGGAATTATATGTTTATTCATCTATTGGCTCATCTATTTTTAATTGGGATCTTTGTGACTTATTATTTATCCTTGTGACAGGGTCGTGCTCTCTATTACATCTCAAAAGCTTTTACTACTGCCGCATCAAAGTTGGAGAAGATTGGATATGGTATGAAAAGTATGCTTAACATAAGTCTTCTTATATGTTTGATTGATAAGAAAAAATGGTTATTCTTAACGGTTTTAAAGATAGTTTCTGATTAATTAAAGTTGATCACTGGTACATGTCAAAAAAACATAAATAAGGTGAAGAAGTAGAAGAAAGAAAAAAAGTTGCATTCCTCTGTAAATTGTAGCTTATTTCCAGTTATATATATTATCGGTTCTCATTTCTAATTTGAAAGCTATACGTAGGAAATTACAATTGGAAGAACTGATTCTATTTGAAATAAGTCAGGAACAAATGGCAAGATTTTACATTTAATCAGCATGAATGATGGGATGAAATTGAGTTGCCTAGTCAGTAGTCTTGATTTAATACTTGTTTCAAAAGGGTGAAAGTCTATTGTGGTCTGCTGGCTTCAATTCCACCACTATTCTGTGGTCATACTAATTCATTAATTCTTCAAAAGTTATTTTTCTGATCGAAGGAAACTGAATTAAGTTTGTTAGTTATGGATCTTCCATGGCTCTTAAATAAGTTCTGTATTTGAAAAAGCCAGATGGGAGAAGGAAAGAAAGCATTTAACTTGTCTGCATGGCGGCTTATTGTCTTGTTTTAAGCAGATGGTAATAATCCTTTAATGTTGACTAGAAGGCTTATATTGTTTTTTGAAGATTCGAATTTCAATTTCCTGCAGAAGATAATAGATTTGTTCATTGATCTTTAAATAATAAATCTATGAACTGTGGCCTAATCCTTTTAGAGATAGTTTGAAGTATACAATGTTTTAATTTGGGTTATTACATAAGTACAAGAACTCTTTTGGCTATCTGAGAGCTCAAGGCAGCCAAGGATCTGATAGTGGTGTTTTTTTTCCCCTAAAGCAGTGTGCAAATGCACAACACTTAACGGTCATGTCTAGATTGGTAAGCTTCAAATAAATGGAATTTAGAAGGAAATAATCTGAAGACATTTGACCTGTTTTCTAATTTTATTATCTGGAAAAATTGTTAAATGATAAATGATGCTTAACTATTCTTTTGTTATGGTGAAAGTCAAGGCGTACCTATTGTTTATTTGCTGTGGACATAACATTCTAACCGGTAGGCATAATAACTGAGTATTTATCTTTGTTTCATCATTTTGTTCTAGATAAGCGCTGCATCAGGAATTACAATGAAATTAGAAACAAAAACTCTTCTATGCTTTTATCCTCTGTTATCTCAGATTGTTCTCAGGCATGCATGACATTTTATGGGACCTCACCTTATGCCTTTCTCTTAAGAGTTTTTTTCCCTTGTTCAGTTGAACAATTGTGCTTGAACAGTAAATCCTTCCAGTTCTTTTCGGTGATCATTTTGCTGGCCAAAAAGCATTAAATATTGATCAAATTTGCCCTTCATATTGTCCTTATGTCTTTATCAGTTCTCTTTCTCATGACATTTTTATTTATTGTTGTATATTCTTTTCTTCTCATTTTGTCAGCTGTAGCCTTACTCTCATGTGTTTGATATTGTTAAATCATTCATTCATTTCTAGATGTGGCTGGTTGTTGTCTTACCAGCTTATCTAAGTGGCTTGTAAATTATGGGCAAGTTCTTAATCATTACATTACTAATTCCACTATACCAGTATGGGGGAGATAATTGTTCTTGGGAAATCCTTGGATTTTTTCTTGCTACACAACTTAAGGAATAATAACCTTTGTGTATGTGACTTCTTCCCTTTCATTTTCTTTTAATTTTGCCATCCCTCATTAAAAACATTCTCCCCACTAAGTGCTTGTATGTTTTGTCCTTTTTTCAAGGTTTGTTTTGGCATGTAATTGGTTATAGGTTTTCTGTACCATTTTACGTAATTATTAAGTTTTTCAGGTCATTCTTATTAAATTTTCTGATGTAGTTGATAGTGAAAATGAGAGTGAACCTTTGGAATCAAAGGCTACTAAAGAGACAATTGACTTAAAGGAAGTAAAGCGAGTAGATCTTATTCTTGCGTCCTTACAGAGAAAGGTAACCTTCTATGCATATCATGTTGATTTTTCCACCATTTCCCTGCATCAGTTTATTTTTAAGAACTAGTGAATCTGTGCCAAAATCCTAACAACAAAGTAGATGATTATGCCATCCATTTAAAATGAAAGGAAAAGTATAAAACCAAAGTTCAAGAATATATAGTTTAATCTGGAGTTCCATATTCCAATGCAATTTCATGGATTTTCATCTTTTCCTAAAGATTTTGGTTTGTATTGTGTTCTCTGTTCCCTTTTTGACTGGTTTAATCAATTTTTATGGAATTTTTACTTAACTTTTATGTATTTGCTCCAACTTTTTCTGGTGAGCAGCACTTATTACTTTCTCAGATGAACAGTCATGATATGTAAATTTGCTGGTGAATTATATTATTTGTTTTCATTTGGGAATTCTTTGCATATAATCCCCATTGTTTTGTGAAGGGTTTTGAGATTAATTCCTGATTTGATCAGAAACATTTTGTTCCTTGTGCACTGCAGTTACCACCTGCTCCACCACACCCTCCATTTCCTGAAGGTTTTGTACCCCCTTCAACATCAGAAGCAGAGAAAGATTCTGAAAACCAGCAACCAGGTGAGACACAACCTTCTCATGTCGATCCCATTATTGATCAAGGTCCAGCCAAGAGAATGAAGATCTGAGGTAGGCACTAACTGAGAATATAGACTTCATTCCGCATGCAATTGCAAATCCATTGTCAGCTAATCTCTTTCTCATGAAATTAACCCGTTGAAGTTATTAGGAATATGAAACCACGAGCTTGTACTTAAATATGCAGTTAAATATTTTCTTTTCTTTTCCTTTCTTTTTTTTTTTTTTTTCTCTGATACTAATATCTTATTATCTCCGATCTTTCATTGTTACCCCATAAGTTATCAACTAACCAGATACAACATTTTTTCATATTTGGTTGTTTGCTATACTCTAAGACAAAATTATGCGGTTAAAAGTGGATCACATATTCTAGTGATTAACGAGTAGTAAGCCGATTATAAATAAGGATAAGAGAATAGTGAAAATTAAAATATATTAACATTTTAAATGTTAAGATTTTTTTTGAAATTATTTAAATATTTTTAATGATAATTTTTTTATGTATTGATTTATTAATGGGATTTTAGTTGTTTTATTATTATTATTTTGAACATTTTAATTAT